TATTCTTTAACAGATATTATAAGTCTTAATATACTCTTTGACATATGCTTAAAACTTGTCTTAAATATATTTATATTTTAGAAGCTTCTCAGTCTTCTCTACTCTAAAGTGTTCTGTATAAGAATTATTATAATGAATTCTCAATAACTTCTAATACACAGCTCTGCTATGAGAGATGAAAACTGACTCATTCAGTAGTAGAAGTTCATATTCTTCTAGTTATCAGTGACTTGATTTCTTAGCAGCACTACTCTGCTCAGAGTCTGTCTCTTTTAAGTTTAAACTAAATTCTTTCTTCTTCAATTTCTGAATTTAAGCTGCAGTATAGATGTCTCTCTTCTATAATTTATTAATAAATTTCCAAAGTAGTCAGATTGAAAGATTATAAACTGTTTCATTCTTTGTCAATTTAATAATAGTAAGATATAATATGAGAAGCTCATGATCTTCAGTGTCAGTTCTCTGCAGAGACTCAGATTTTCTTTCATCTTCTATACTAAGTTATGCAGCTGTCTTACTGATACTGTTTCTGAGCTTTAGAGAACTTCAACTCTCTGCAGTCAGCTTCTTCTACAGTGATGACAGAGATTCTTTTATAGAATTCTTCTCTTTATTAACAATATTATAATCATACTGTCTAGACAGTGTATCAGTGAAGTTAAGCTGATCTGAATAATATCAGATATAGAAGTTATACTCTGAAAGCAGCTCTGCTCATCTGACTTGATATTCTATCAAGCTCTTTGTTATCAAGAAGTAACACAGATTTGTATAATTAATGAGAACTTACACTGAGTACTTACTACTCTGAAGATAATATCATCAGATCTTAAAGAATTTGATAATTACTTATATCTCTTAATTATGAATATCATATCTTCTCTGTATGAGTGATAACTTCTTAGAGAAGAAAATCACTGATCTTCATTTATAATATTTTATAGACTCTGTAAAAAAGCCTTCTCTCATAGATATTTCATTATCTGTATTTTCAGAATTTATTATTCTCTGATTCTTTCAATATTGAAAGATCTTTGATATCATCTGTGAAAAGATTTCATAGATCTTATTTCTGAATATATCAGTCTCACACTAACTGAGTAAGTTGAAATTAAAGTGATTCAGTATTATAATATCTGTAAAAGCTTATTTCAATTCTACAAATATCTGTATAGTATCTTGAGTGAGAGTAGACAGTCTCATTCTTCTATCTTTCACACTTCACTTTAACAGATCTGTAAGAGAGACAGTAATCTGTGAATATGTATAGATGAATTATCTGTACAAATTTATAAATTCTAGAAATATCTGTATCTCACAATATGTTCACAGTACTGATCAGTTCTCAATGATAAAGATCTGACTTCTATTCATTGAAATGCTGTTCATCTTAATAATATAATCTAAGAAATCAATCTTCTACATGTAGAATGAGCATTTTTCAGTATTTATATAGAGTTGATACTGTCTCAAGTGACTCAATACTTCTTGAACATAGATATTATGTTCTTTCTCTGTTTTTGAGAAGATTAGAATGTTGTTTAAGTATACTATAAAGAAGATATTGATAAGACCTCACAGTATCTCATTTATATAAGTCTAAAAGATGACTGAAGTATTACAGAAATTAGAAGATAAAACAAAATATTTAAAATTGCTGTACTTGATATGAAAAGCTATTTTCTAAATATTGTCTTTGTTAACTCTGATTCTATGATAGATATTCTGTATATCAATCTTTGAGAACACTCTTACTTCAGATAATTGATTGATCATCATGTTAATTAACAGTAATAAATAGTAATTCTTAACTATTATCTTATTGAGACTACTGTAGTCTACACATAGATATAGTCTACTATTCTTCTTAAGTATAAAGAGTATAGACATCTCTGTCAGACTCTTTGATAAGTGTATTTAGTTCTTTGATTGCTCTTTCTCAAGATATTTACACAGAATATTCAATTCCTTTACAGATAAGCTGTAAAGAGACTTATACAGTGCTATTATATCATCTTTAAGATAAATCTTATATTATATCTTGATATCAGAAAACTTTGCTGCTTCTCTTTCTGAAAAGACATTCATATAATCTGTAAAGAGATGTTATATATATCTATCTTCAATGATAAATACTGCTGCTAATCATATAGTGAGAGTGATAACTTCTTTATCTATTTCTAAGTCTCAGTCATCTGCTATACAGTATATTAACTCTATCTTTTTCTTAAGATTCTTCTGATGAAACTCTTCAGATTTCTCTATCACTGTCTCTTCATTAGTGAGATAATACTGTCACATCTGAGTAACTCAGTCAATGAGAGAATTGTTTTCTCTCAATCACAGAAGATCTAAAATGACATTCTTATCTATGATATTAACAGTGTGAAGAAGTAGACTGCTCTTCTTAAAGATTTCTTCTAAGTCTGTGATTACACATTTTGCTTAAATAATGCTAAAATAATGATACTTTGTTTCATCAGTAAATTTCATATGATCTGATAAGTCTATCTTCTTTCAACTCTTCATTAAAGAAAAGAAAAAGAATATAAAGTTAGTATCTGTCTTAAAGTCAAGTAGACATCTCACTAATATCTTCTTATTTAAGATATGTATTATGATTATAACAGGAACTTGAAGATATGAGAATTATTAATTCTTCATTTCTTTCTCTTCTTTATCTTTCACAGATACATTTATCAGAAGAAGACTTAACTTTAAGAAGATATCTTCTCAGTTTCTTCTCTTCTTCAGCTTCTTACAATTACTATCATAGTGATTATCAGCTCTGCAGTTAAAATAGAGATCTTTATCAAATCTTTTTTAATATTTCTTTACAGTAAATGAAGAATCAGAATACTTGAAATTCTTCTTTACTTTCTTCACACTAGAGCTGTCACATTGCTGCTTAGACTCTGGTATTAATTACTTAGAACAAGTCTTATTAATTTTTTTCTCAGAGTATTGATTATGTAAATAGATTCAGAAAGTCATGTTAACAAGCTCAGCATAATTGATTAATATACTCTTATACTGTGATATTGTTATTCACATCTTGTGAGTCAGCTTTATAAGATAAAGCTATATTTTTAATTGATTCAAATTATCAGTTAATTTCTCTTAATATTCCTTTAAATCTTATATTGAAATCAGAAAAATTCTTATTATCTTATTAATATAATAAGTTAAACTGCTGTGCTGCTGTAAAGCTGCAGTTGTAATACTCTTCAATTTAATTCAGTAGAAAGTCTTTGAATTCTTCTCAAGTTATAACAGTATTGATATACTCAAGTATTCTCTTCTTGATAACTCAAGTAGTTACAGAGATGTCTTCAAGAAGATTGACAGTGTATATTACTTATATCTTATGAGTATTAAACTAGCTCAGATTAAGATGAAATTTCTGTTCAAGAATATAGATAAAGCTGTGAAATTCAGATAATATATTTCCCTTATAACTCAGAGAATCTCTGATCTTAATCTCTCTATCTTTATAATAGATATAGGTGTGTAGAGGCTGCAGCAGTGACAGAGTGATTAAAGAGCTTGTATTAAAGTATATAGTGAGTTCAGAAATCTTGAACTTCTGCTGAGATAGAGATGTACACACTCTGAAACATAGTGTGAAGTTTTTCTCAGAGAATGAGATCAGGTCAGTCTCAGCACAGATACATGAGATTATATCAGTCTGTTAATAGAGCTTGACTGATTCAAACTTATAATCAGATTAAGTAATTTAAATTGTAATATAATAGAACTGAAGTGATGACTAGTCAGCAGCATTATATAGAACTAGTTATTTAAGAAGCTGTATAAGTGAGCTTAACTATCTTGCTTAAATAGTGAGCTCATGAACTACAGAGTTATTATGAGAATATCATCAATATAATGCTTAGTATACTAAGAAGATTATATGAGAAATGCAGTAACTCTTGTATATATTTCAGTAGAAGAAAAATGTATCACTGACTTCTTTGATAAGAAGTCAGCATCTAGCTATTCTATATAGATAATGAGCAGATACTCTTCTCTCATTTCATGAGTGAGAATAGCTGAAGTGATATCTCAGTGATGTCTTACTATCAAGAATGAGTAATCTGCTGACCTTGTATAGAAGTAAGATTCTTATATTCATAAATCAGATCTTTCTACAATATATCAGTCATAGAGTGATTGAAAACCAGTTTGAATAAGATGAAGTTATTCACATGAAAGTGATGAGCTGCGTGAAACCGCAATAAGGCCTTGGCGCGGCCGGAAGAATAATAATTATTTATCTTATAAGTCTCTGAAGCAGTCACTTTTCAGTTCATTGCAGGTGTTAATAAGCTTATACTTAATTCTTCTTATACTTCAGATATTTATGAATTTCTTTTTCTACATATTAACATGTAATTCTTTATTAAGTCAGACTTTTCACCTGATCTCAGATTTATCATGAGTTCAATTAATTACTAAATCATCTAGACATACTTGTAATAATGTGTGAAGATGTCAATTTAGCATGTTATTCCAGTTATTTATTAGCTTGTGAGAGGGCTTTATAATCTCTTGAAGAATAACATTGATTATATTAGGTATGTACTCTATCTACGCGAGTTACACTAAATGAATAGGTTGTGTTAGTGATTAATACACCTACTCTAGTCATGTGCCACCTCAATCTATTCATTTAGTGTAACTTGTATAGATAGATTACATATATAACATAATGATATTATTCTTGAAGAGATTATAAAGCTCTTTACAAGTAATGAATAACTGTAATAATATGTTAAATTAACATCTTCATGTATCATTACAAGTATGTCTAGATAATTTATTAATTAATTCAACTTATGATGAATCTGAGATCAGGTGAAAAACCTGACTTAACAAAGAATTATGTGTTAATATGTAGAAGAAGAAATTCACAAATATGTGAAGTATAAGAGAAACTGAGTATGAGCTTATCAACATCTGTAATGAACTGAAAAGTGACTGTCTCAGAAGCTTATGAGATGACTAATACAATTGTAAAAGAACAGTCTGATGAGTTCAATACTAAATATAAAGACTCAGTTGAAGATATCAGTGAGATGTCAGATAATACAGAAGACTCAAGTGATCAGAATGACAATAGCTCAGTAGGTGAGAAGACTTATATAAGACTAGAAATTACAAGACTTCAGTATGAGATTAAGCAGATGAAGATCAGTAGAGGTGACTCTGCATATGATAAGATGAGAGCATATCTGACAGAATATCTTCAATAGAAAGAGAAGATATTCATTATAATAACAGTTCTTGAAGAATTCAAAAGCTAAGTAAGACTTATCAAAAGATTAATAGTTCTTACTGAATTCATTAACTACTCAATATAAAGAGAGAAAATTCTTTTGACTGCAGAACAGTCTGAAATTAATAATATTCTTAAAGATAATGATTTTAATGAGAATGCTAGTATGAACATGCAACATTTCTGAAAAGAACACAATCTTTGATTATATAATTATATATGATCTGCAATTACTCTGCAGATCAAGACTTATTTCACTATACTTAAGAAGTTCAAATTATCAGCTTATACTCTATGAACTATTATAGAGAATAACTTTTCTGAGAGATCTGCTATACACAGAACTCATTTATTTGAAGAGCTTATTGAAATAATCTTCAAAAGCAAAGAATCTGATAGAGCTTTCATTGAACAATTAATTGCTATAGAATCTGACTACATACACCTAGAACATGAGATTTCAGATGTCATGTTTTTTGACAGACTGCTTAGAGAAGTCAACAGAGATTGAGTCTCATTTATAAGAAATTAATTGAATCAAATTGACAAGAATAATACTCAACTCTTAGAGAATAATTTTATAAGCCTGTATCATGATATTCTTTTACAGCTCTCTGCTGTCAATGAGACAAGTACTGATGTGTCTAGAAACTCTATCAACAACACACAAGACAAGAATAAGAAAGGCAGGGATAAAGAGAAAGACAAGGACAAGAATGTTGAATTCAAACCGGAACATAGAGGCAATGACGCCAAGACATGCTATCATTGTCAAAAGATTGATCATATTCAGACTGACTGTTGAAAGAAATACTCTGAGAAACATTCTTCAAATTGGACTTTCAACATTAATAGAAATAAGAATAAAGACAAGAATGCAGAGAATACAGAAGCTGCTTCTGTTCACAACATTATAGAGCAAGTATTTTACATCAAAGAAAAGATCTATATAAGTAATCAGACAGGAAAAGATATCTGAATTCTAGACTCTGAATCAGACACTCATGTCACACTTCACAGAGATCTTGTCATGACAAAACCTCAGAAGATGAAAGTGATGTTGAAAATCACAGATGAAATAGTGATCTCTGCTACAGCTATAAAAAATACAAAGATTTCAGTGAAAGAAGCAGATATGCTGTTAAATAATGTTCACTTTGTTCTGAAGTTAGAAGTGAATCTCATGAGTATGAATAAACTTGTACATCAGAATTATACCTATAAGTAGTTGATATATGAGAATAATTATGCTATGTTGATTATATCTCTCAATCACATGTTCTCATTTACAGCAAGATTAAATGAGAATGATATCTATGAGATGAAAAGACTGATTACATACAGAGACTTAATTTAGTTTGCTATACTTAATAATGATTTTGAATCTGTGAACACATTACAGATGAAAGATGACACAATATTATCACTATCTGACAGAAATGATACAAAGGTTATGAAACTTATGATAATGCAATGACATTAAAAGCTAGAATATCTAAATCTCATGAATATTGCAAAAATAACACCAGATTCACATCTAGAAATAAGAATTATTAATTAACAAGCTTTATCATTCTGCAAAGCCTGTGTTCAGATAAAAATGACATGTTCAATCTTTACATTAATAACATGAGCTGTTACGTCAGTAATAAGATTCTTCATCAATCTGACAGAAGATAGAAAAACACTTTTCAATGAGAATGACATCTAGACTGACCGTGTGACCGTGTCTGGGACCAGGACCAGATTTTTTGATAGTCTCATTACCAATTCGACTGATCCCATTACACAGTTTTAACATTAGATAGTAGTTTCATACTGTCTCAGTGAGACTTACTGTCTACTCTTGTCACATTTTTCAAATGAAATCATGATTTCCACTTCTCAATTTAAATTATTTTTATTGCTTTAAATGACTTTAAATCTCATTTGAGTGTTATCAAAAAGCATTACTTTTTAAAAAATTAAAAATAGTCTAAAAAAAACCTTAAAATGTCTAAAAATAGTAACTTTATGTCAAGAATGAGACTAAATGGGATCAAATGGAATCACTTTCTTATTTTTTTCAAGTCATGGTTCCATTTTAAGATCTGATATATAGTCACTTTACCTGTTTTTTTGATAGCCAGTCCCAGCGGGATTCACGCCAAGAAATGTATGGGATCAGACCAAATGAGATCAAATGTGAAATTCATGGTCCCGGCGGCCAGTCTAATGACACCTTCACTAGAGAGAGTGTAAGCTACTGATTGAGTATAATAAACAATATAATCTATTATAGATGAGTAATTCTTATAATGAGAAAGAGAGAATCTACTGCAAGATTAATAAACTTCATCATAAGTATTGAGATAACTATATAATATTGAGTTGAAACTCTACACTGAGATTAGACTGACCGTGTGACCGTGTCTGAAACCAGGACCAGATTTTTTGATAATCTCATTATCAATTCGACTAATTCCTTACACAGTTTTAACATTAGATAATAGTTTCATACTGTCTCAGTGAGACTTACTGTCTAGTCTTATTATATTTTTGAAATGAGATTATGATTTTCACTTCTTAATTTAAATTATTTTTATTGCTTTAAATGACTTTAAATCTCATTTGAGTGTTATCAAAAAGTGTTACTTTTTAAAAAAATTAAAAATAGTCTAAAAAAACCTTAAAATGTCTATAAATAGTAACTTTATGTCAAGAATGAGACTAAATGAGATCAAATGAAATCACTTTCTTATTTTTTTCAAGTCATGATTTCATTTTAAGATCTGATATATATAGACTAACGCCGGAATTATGAATTTCACATTTGATCTCATTTAATCTGATCTCATACATTTCTTGATGTGAATCCCGCTGGGACTAGTCATTAAAAAAACATGCAAAGTGACTATATATCAAATCTTAAAATGAAATCATGACTTGAAAAAAATGAGAAAGTGATCTCATTTGATTTCATTTAGTCTCATTCTTGACATAAAGTTACTATTTTTAGACATTTTAAAGTTTTTTTTAGACTATTTTTAATTTTTTAAAAAGTAACACTTTTTGATAACACTCAAATGAGATTTAAAGTCATTTAAAGTGATAAAAATAATTTAAATTGAGAAATGAAAATCATGGTCTCATTTGAAAAATGTGATAAAAGTAGATAGTAAGTTTTACTGAAACAGTATCAGACTACTATCTAATGTTAAAACTGTGTAATGAGATCAGTTGAATTGATAATAAAACTATCAAAAAATCTGGTTCTGGTCTCAGACACGGTCACACGGTCAATCTAGATATATAGTCACTTTGCATGTTTTTTTAATAACTAGTCCCAGCGGGATTCACGCCAGGAAATGTCTGAGATCAGACAAAATGTGATTAAATGTGAAATTCATAGTCTCAGTGACCAGTCTAACTGAGATGATAAAGAAGAGTTCAAAAGTCAAGAACTTAAGATCTACTATTAGAGTAAAGAAATATTGTATGAAATGACTACATCTGACACATTTCAATCAAATGACTCAGCAAAATACATGAATTGAATAGTTGCAGAAAAGATACAAAGCCTATTATTTAATACTGAATTAGAAAGAGAACTTTGAGATGAAGTAATACAAGCTGTAATTATAATGATCAATACATTCTCAATGTTAACAAAGATATTTAAATATAAGAAAGAAATATAACTTATATCTTTTAAAGTATGAACAGAGATGCAATCTTCTGTTTATTGAATATGAAGATAGAGATGCAACATCTACAAGAATAATTTGAAAGTGTTAAATAAGCTCACAGATAGAACTGATAGTAAGAAATAACAGCTGATTGAATATCAAGAATTATATTAATATCATGTGTGAAATTCTG